TGGTCTCTGAGCACTTTGCGAAACTTCTGGTCCTCTGGGCTACAGGCAAGGAAACTTGCCTGCTCTGCACTTAGCCTGGCAACGTCAGTGCTTTGGGGAATAAAATGCAGAGATGCTGGCTTGGATCCGCTTCCTCGTTTCAATGCTTAATCCTTTCATCGTGTGGCTGGCGAGCCTGGGACTTGCATGAGATGATGGATGCTTGGACTGCATTAGGCATCTGCTTGAGGTTTTTGATTTTAGCCTATACAGATGATGGCTGTTGCCCTAAGTGCCTGAGCACTTCCTTGCCCGTTTGATTGGAATCAGTCACATTCGTTTTGCTTTTTTAGAAATGGGCAACGAGGGAAGAAAAGCCCCATTTCCTAAATGTGATCTAGAAGACCAGCGGAGAAACTGAGTTTGGTCAGGCTGGAGCTGAAGCTTTTCTCTGTTATTTAGGTTGCTCACAGGGGAATTCTGCTGAGAATCCTTGGAGAAAGCGTAGAGAAAGCATTGCAAAGGGAAACAGAGACCAGAGCTAAGCACAGTGCACTGATTTCCCAAAAGCTGCTCAGGAACAGAGCCCCTGACCTGTGCTATAGGATGCCAAACTCATGCTCTTCAGGGAGTTTTATCATTTCCAGTCTTTTTGCCTGGCGCCATTTGCAGCTGCCTTATGGATTTGATCTTTTGTGTGTTCCCAGCTAAATGGCACTAAATCTCTCTGGAGTCCAAGGGACAAGTGCATTTTACAGGTCAGTTAAAAAACAGCTGAAAAAAAAAAAGCCAAGCTGCATTTCTTTGCCAGCTCTCCAAACCCCCATCGGTGCTGGCAGAGGTCTTTAGTTTTACTTTCCTCTTCCTTCCCAGATGATGGGAATGGAAGGAGGCGAGCGCAGAGCGAGGAAGAGGCGAGGCAGGGTGCGACTGGTGCTTCGCTCATCCCTGGAAGTCACCTCTGACAACACCGGCGTATTTTTAGCTGCCTCCACCTGACGGTGTCTAGCTGTCCTGGTCTGTTTTAAGAGCCTGGCCTGCAGCCATTGATACATCACAGCTTGGGGCTTTTCCTGCCTTAACTAAGGGAGCAGCTCAAGTCTCACTGCTCTAGTGAACTACAAATACCCCTCGATTTGGTTACACCGAACCAGTCCCAGCGGATGCTTGTTTTGGTGGGGGTCCCCCTCCTCCGAGCGCGGGGCTGAGAGCCTGGGAGCCCAAAGGGATGAAGTCACTTTGTTTGCAGAGCTCCCAGCGTTTATCAGCTCGGCTCCCTCCTTGTTTTTCCTGCAAACATGCTGTCTTTTTTCCGGGAGTTTTAAAATAGCCCGTGGTCTGAGGCCAAAAGCACAGGCTCTGCCTTGCTCCCCAGGGAGTGCCATTTTCCTTCCTTGCTTCAAGGACTGAGGAGCAGGATGAAGCTCTGCTGCTGGAACGAGGGGCAAAATGTGGAAGTTTGGATTCGTCCTCTGTTCAGGAGCTGGACCTGAGGAAAAACTGCTGCTGGGGAGAGGGTATGGGACTGCCTGGGAGCCAGGAGGTCATCTGTAATCCTTTTTCCACCACTGGCCTGTTGCGGAGCCTTTAGTAACCTCCTGCCTCGCCTGTATTTGTCTAACCCCTAAATACAGGACTTTGCTCTGAGCTGAGTGCTGGAGGGGTACGAGGGGCGGGGAAAGCACGTGTGTTTCTTGCCAGTACATCAGGTTTCTTCTGCGGCCAGAGAGGATGGCTGGGCCTGAGTGATAAGCCACGCTCTTCCTCTTCAGCTATTTGAGGATGGGCTTGGTGGTATTTTTAGTGCCCGCATGTAAAGTCAGCAGTTGAAGAGTCTTGTCTGGAGGCCTTGAGCCTGTCTGCTTGGAGGCCTTTCTTTCTGTCTAATTTGGGCAGTGTTGCATGCTTGGAGATCTGCCTGGGGTTTGGGAGACCTTGTAAAAATTCCTGCTAACAAGCCTGTGTCCCTGAAGCACTTGCTGCACTTGGAGATACTTATTAATCAGCTGCGAGGCACCTTTCAGAGGGAACGGATCCTTTTCTGAGGCTGCTGCTGGCACTGATGGAGAGTACAACCCATCACGTATGTCACCTAAAACACTTGACATTGTTCCTCATGGGTATAACCCCCTGTAATAACCCAGAATATTTTCTTCTCCTCCTTCTCTCATGCAGAAGCAGAGTGGTGGTAGGTCTTGCATCCAGTGGGCTGGTCTAGTAAAGCTCTTTGTCTCTCTTAACTTGCAGGAGTCAGAGTCCGAGAACAAGCTAGATGGAGAGACAGCCTCAGACAGCGAAAGCAAATCCGAATTTGGAGGATCGCCCCCGGTGCCGACATCGGATGACACTCCAGAGGTCCTGAACAGAGCTCTCTCCAACCTGTCCTCAAGGTAGCACTCGCTGAGCGTTGTTCCCCCTCTGCTGCCAGGGCCCCTGCAGCTTCACCGCGGCTTTCCCAGCCCCAGCAGCGTGGTGGTGGCTGCTGGAAGCCGAGTGAGCAGCTCTCGGCAGCGCTGCCCTCTCCCTCGCCGCTGTGCAAGCAGGAAGGTGCCCCTGAGGCCACAGGAGGAAGCAGAAGGTGACGGTGATGCCAGCGGGGAGAGCAGGGTGCAGCGCTGGGGGCTGCTGTGCGTGGGAGAGGCCGGTGGCGGAGGAGTGCTGCGGGAGGGCTGCCTCGCTGCGTGCCTGGTCCGGGCAGGTGAAAAGAGGCCTGGGTGGGGCAGAAGAGGGTTGCGTTTTGCTTTGGCAGCGCTCTCAGCCAAGACTGCAACTTGGGTGGCTTTTAACCACTAGTGTGACCTGCTTCTGCAGGAATACATGAGAAAAGCGTGCTGATAAAGACAGGATTTAAGAACAAACTGGGAGTGTTCTCTACAGACTGCTTTGGTGGAAAAGCATCTTATTTATATTACGGGAGAAAGTGTCTCTCCTGGGTGTGCTGTGAGGATGGGAGAGGCTCAAGGCAGGATCTGCTGGAGAGTAGTGAGGATACAACACACCAGGGCTCATGTCTTCTCTTGAACAGGAGTGCAAAGAGGGGTAATGGACCCCGTTTTATTTCAACTTACCATGCAGCTTGTCCGAGGCGTGGGAAACCTGTAGCAGAACAGGAACAGACGCTCTCCTGCCCTGTTTCAGTGTCCCTGGAGATGCTCTGCACCTGGCTGATACTTTCTGCATTTAGTGAGGCTCATAGAAGGGAAGACTGAGCTGAACTGTAGCCTTGTAGCTGCTGCAACCAGGTCTTCATCAGTGGATCAAGGTGTCTCTGCAACACTGAAAGGGAACTTGGGGTTTCCAGGGCTCAGTTTCCTTCCTGTAATGTGCAGAAAGCAGAAGCCCTGTCCTGCTTCCTCGCTTTGTTTTGACTTTCTCTAACGACTTTCCTTCTTTATGGCCTAGATGGAAGAATTGGTGGGTAAGAGGCATCCTCACGCTGGCAATGATTACCTTCTTCTTCATTATCATCTACTTGGGACCCATGGTCTTAATGACAATAGTAAGTGCTCTAGAGAGATGCCCTGATGTTCACAGCGGTGGGGGGGAAGGTTGCTGGGGTGGGCAGCTCAGAGCCTTATGTTTTAGAGGTCCTTATTCAGCTTGCTGGATTTCTCTTCCCATGGAGGAAACCTGGAAGGCATCTGTGACTGCCTGCCCTGGTGGTCAGCATGTGGCTGCAACTGAAACTAATACAAGAGGTTGTTAGAAACCTCCTGCGGAGGAAAGGGCAGGGAAGAACAACATGGTGAGCTTCCCATGTTCGAGTAGGAGGCTCCTGCCAGACTGACAGCGACTGCTGAAGTATCTTTTGCTCTGCACATGTATGTTTTTATCTCCTTGAGGAGAGATGTTTAACCAACATGTAAAACAGCTTCTGGATGTCTTTTTGTGCAGGTGATGTGTGTCCAGATCAAATGTTTCCACGAGATTATCACTATTGGCTATAACGTGTACCACTCGTATGACCTGCCCTGGTTTAGGACGCTCAGCTGGTGAGTAAGGGGGCTGCTCCCCTCCCCAGGCTTGCGTGCAGTAGTGACGCTTCATCTCGTTGCAGACAAGCAGCGAGGGGATCACCTGGCTACCTCCAAACCGGAGACCCTGGGATTGCTGCGTGTTGACCCATGTCATGTGTTAGCAGCTCTTGTAAAGGAAAAGCCCCCAGAAATCTCGATAGATCAATACCTTGAAAGAGCCTGTATTGATAAAGTTTGTCCTGTTGTTGATGAAGGGCAGAGATTTGAAAGCCATGATCTGTGCAAGGAACAGCATTGACAGGCATCACCACCTAGAGATGGACATGGTTGCTTGGGTGGGACGGGAGTTTTTAGGTGGTTGTGCAACAGGGCTGAGCGTAGGGACAGAAGGGCTGGGGAGAGGGCAGGAGCAGCGCTTCCAGAAAGCCCAGGGCTGGTGCTGTGCCGCTGCACAAGCTCGCAGAGGCCTGTTGAGGAGTGCCACCTAAAGGCAGAAAGTCCTTGTGCAGCAGAAGGCCAGGACCGAACCTGGGTGGTGGGATCCATCGCAAAGTGGAGCTGAGTGATGCAGCCACTAGTTTAAATGAAGGTGACACTTCTAAACTGGGGGAAATAAAGTTCTGGCTGTCACCTGAGGATAGCCTGTTTGCAGTGCTCCAGAGCAATGTGAAGACCTTAGGGATCAGTCGCTTTCTGTGTTTCTCCAGAAGCCTTTCAGGGTTCCTGCTAATGAGCCTCTGCATCCTTCACAGGTACTTCCTGCTCTGCGTAAACTACTTTTTCTATGGCGAGACTGTGACAGATTATTTCTTCACCCTGGTTCAGAGAGAGGAACCCCTGCGGATTCTCAGCAAATACCACCGCTTCATTTCTTTTGCCCTGTACTTAACAGGTAGAGACCACATTTTCTGTTGGTTAATCTTGTCTGGGCTGGAGGGAAGAAATCTCCTTGAACTCCCAAGTATCGTGTCCAATGCAGTATCCCCAGCAACTTACCTCTGCTCTTCAGTGATGCTGTAACTTGGCTGTGTGGGTAGAGTAGTCGTGGCAAATCTCTTACACGAGGCTCTGTAGAAGAAAACTCTGTAATCTGTATGGGGCAGCCAGGCTTGTTTCTTCATCTCTCCAAGTGCTACTTGGAGGCAATGGTATTTTGTGACTTCCAGAGCAGCGCGTTTTCCCACTCTGCAAATCCTGAGCTGTGCAACATCGTGGTAAAAAAGTATTTCTTCCTGTTGAAGATACATTCCCATAATTTTCTTTTCTTTTGCCTCTCGTCAGGTTTCTGCATGTTTGTCTTGAGTCTGGTGAAGAAACACTATCGCCTCCAGTTCTACATGGTAAGGTTAAATGCAGGGCCTGGCTGCCCCCAGTTGGAGGCAGAAGAAGGAATAATGTAGTCTGCTTGGAACTGTTGTGTAGAGCACTACGTGTCAGTAGATGCTTCTGGGCTGGTTGTGCATTGTACTGCTGCCTGGAAGCAAAGCTACTGTGAGCAGACTGTAGGTTTAGGAATTTCCCTGCCAACCTGCATTCTCTTCTCTCTGCACTTGTGGATGCTATCGAGAAACTTTCTGCAAGCTGAGAGGACTGCCCAAGGCTCCTTGACTCTTGCACTGAGGGCAGATTGCCACCAGGGTTAACTGGCTATGTCCCCCTTTTCCCAAAGGTCACTAAGGCATTGCTTGTCTTTGACCATCGACGCAGCTAGTTTCGCTTTCCAGTATATTCAGCGCACAGGGATACGGCTTGGGTATCTGTGAGTGTTCTCCTCTCAGAAGGCTGAGTGAGATGTATGGGATAGGGGTGGGCTAGAGAGCATTTGATCCTGCAGAAGTCTTCCTGATGAAGGTCACCTCTGGGCTTGAGCTGAAGAACATGCCCATAAATTACTACGGGTGACTGTTCCCTGCTCTTTGTGACTCTTGGTGTTTGTCGTGATGAAGGTGCATGTTAGAAATGCACACGTGCATGAGCCGTTCCCTGTCTGAGAGGGAGCCAACGGTATCTGATTTCTGCCAGCGATGCGTCTGGGCAGTGTCTCTAGGCAGGCTGGACTGTGTGCTGTCTTCTCTTCCAGTTTGGATGGACCCATGTGACGTTGCTAATTGTCGTCACCCAGTCGCACCTCATCATTCACAACCTGTTTGAAGGAATGATCTGGTGAGTTGCCGTGTGCTCTGAGTTGCTTTGGTTTCTGCAGCCGGAAACGAACGACCATGCTTTGGGTTAAAACTGTTCTTTTAAACAACCAGCCAAGGAGAAGGGGCTTCCCGTGAGGGACTAACCTGGTCAGAATAGAAAAGCAAAAGATTGAGCGATACCTCAGCGCCTCAGGACTGGCTTTGTGCAGTACAGAGAGTCGTTGTAAATCTGGAAATCGCCGTGGGGTGCGGGGACCTTTCAGGCAGCGTCAGGCGTGTGTAGATGCTTTCTCTTTAGACCCACAAACAGCTGGGGAAGTGCTGCTCGGCACTTGATTCGGGGCAATGCTGTCAGCATCCTGTTCACAGCAGCACTGTGAAAGGAGGGGGAAGTCACTGCCTTACTCCTGCTGCAGAGGGGAAGCCCCTTTGTTGGTCTTCCCAAAACCAGCGGGGCCAGGAACTAATTTTGGCAGCTTTAGGACTGCATGTGCCTCTGCGTGTCACAGCCAGCCCGGAGTGCTTTGGGAGCCGCCTGCCTACAACTAAAATGCAACCTCTCCGGGGGGTAAAGGAGGCGACTGTCTAACAGCATGTCGTGTGTGGCAGAAGAAAATGTGCTTAAAACAGGCCATTCTGGGTACACGACCTGCTTTTTAGTCCAGAGCGCTAGAGTAACCCCCCCCCATTTCCTTAGGAGGTTCAAGTGGTTGCTCCTGGCATTGCATTGGAGGGGAAGACATTGCTGTGGTGGCACTGCAGAGCATCTTATGAAGCAACTGCTTGTTCAGCTAAGTCTTGGGAGTTGTCTGATCTTGGCACTTGGCAATGGTTTGATTCTTCTCCCATCTAGGTTCATCGTCCCGATTTCCTGTGTGATCTGCAATGACATCATGGCGTACATGTTCGGGTTCTTCTTCGGCCGCACGCCACTCATCAAGGTTTGTAACACTTTGGTGGGCAAAACGCACCTTTTGGCTTCTTTGAGTCTTAGGCCTGTGTTCCCTCATCTCCAGTTTTGAGGCTTGTTGTGGTTCTGAAGCGAGTCTCCAAATGAAGCTTGGTGGGCATCCCGGTCGTGGAGGCTGTAAAGTTAAACGAACCGTTTCAGACCGAGATGTTAGTGTCAGCTTCTGACCAAACTCTTTATTTGTTGGTTGTTGGCACCGGTTTGTACTTGTCTCAGCACTTCACAACGAGGAAGGGCTGCATCGGTGTGCGGCGGTGCGTGGAGATGTACAGTTTGTGATCACCCCCTTCTCTCTCTCTCTTTGGCAGCTCTCCCCAAAGAAGACCTGGGAGGGTTTTATTGGAGGATTTTTTGCCACCGTTTTGTTTGGATTGCTGGTAAGTAGCGATCATGGTGCTTGTTTCATTGGTCTTTTCCCTTCGTAGGGTGACAGTGTTTTGTCTAAAAAATGCAGTCAAGCTCTAAGCTCTCCCAGCTCTTGTCAGAGACTTCACATTTTCCTTACTGGCCAGGGTCTGAACTGGTCCGTGGCTGCGTTTTGTGCTGTGTGCAGATACTGCAGATGGAGCAGAGTACTGGAGGGAGTTTGTAGTCACTGTTAGACCCTCTGACATGTTCATTACAATAATTATCCTTGAAATTTTCTCTCTGCTGCTGTTGGATGAATGCTGTGCATCATTTCCAGGGCTGTGTGGGGAATTCAGCGCTCTCAGAATATTCTTATCTGTTTTTACGATGATCTCTGCCTCTGCTTGTTTCCATCCTCTCAGCCAAGTGGTGCAGCCTGTCTCAGCCCGTTCGTACGGGGCTCTGCTGTCTGCTTGCTGAACAGATGCACTTACTGAACGAAAACGCTTACTCTGCCTTTAGCCAATTACTGCTTCTCAGGAGAGTAATCTTCTTAATGAAGCTGGGAGCGTGGCTCCCTCCTCGCCTTGTCTCCTTGAGTGGCCTTTTCCTTTGAGATCGCCTCTGCCACGTTGCTCAGGAAAACACTAATCCCGTTTTCTCTCGCCGCATCTCTTTTTCTCTCTCCTTGAAGTTGTCTTACGTGATGTCTGGGTACCGGTGCTTCACCTGTCCGGTGGAGTTCAACAATGACACCAACAGCTTCACGGTGGACTGTGAGCCATCCGAGCTGTTCCAGCTACAGGAATACAACATCCCCTTGGTGCTGCAGTCCGTGGTGGGCTGGGTAGGACTTTCTCTGTTTATTGGATCTTATTTATTGGGATAGGAACACTAAAAAAGAGATCAGGGCTTTATTTTGACGGTCTTCGAAGGAACATGACAGGGGATCATAGTACATCCAGAAAAAGGGGGAATTTAGTGGTGCTCCGTGTTGGTTGAAGGCCCAAAGGAATTGTCCTAAATCTGATGGGACATTAGCCCACTTGGAAACCAACAGACCTAAAGCGGGGAGAGCAGAGAAAGAGGGGCAAGCGGTGGGCAGTGTTATTCTCGTTGAAAATCCTGCTCTGACATGTTTTTCTTTCTGCAGAAGACAGTCCGGATGTACCCCTTCCAAATCCACAGCATCGCACTGTCTACTTTCGCCTCCCTCATTGGGCCATTCGGAGGCTTCTTTGCTAGTGGATTTAAGAGGGCCTTCAAAATCAAGGTGAGGATGGTGAAGGTCACTTACATTTTAGAGAGGAAAGACTAAATGGTTGCTACCACCCTGAAGAGTCCCTGTGCTCCAAGGAGTGGCAGGCTGGGTGCTTTGGGAAGGGAGGGGAGGTTTGTTCGGTCACAGGTAAAATGCTGGAGCGGGATCTAGTTTTTCTGAGTGAATGAGGAGAGAGCTTAAAATTTCTGCTGTGACACTCTAAACCCTGCTTTGGTGCAGAACTTGACATAGAGGAAGAAAGAACCAGTCAGGAAATTTTGCAATCTGAGGCTTCCCTTGATGTCTTGCTGGCTGGTTTTATGTATAAACAGTCTGTGTTCGGGTAAGATGCCTTGAAAGACAAGACAGGGTTGCAAGAGATAAACGTTAGCCTTCCTTGACCTTTGAGTGACAGATGAGAGTTAAGCCTTGATGTCCCTCAGGCACTTGTAGACTTCATAAAAGAGAAACTTTTAAAACCAGGGCGAGATTAAACACAACGTCCTCTTACTCTGACCTTTGCCTTCTGGGAGGAATTAGAGCAAGGACGCAAGTGTTGTGCGTAGAGGTACATGAGCAAGTACAGGTCACGGGCTTTTGAAAGTGCTAAATGCAATCCCTTCTGCTTTTGCACAGGACTTTGCCAACACAATCCCAGGGCACGGAGGTATCATGGACCGCTTTGACTGTCAGTACCTGATGGCCACCTTTGTTAACGTGTACATCGCAAGCTTTATCAGGTATTTATTGCTTTGTGGTGAAGTCTGGGGGCCCTGTCAAACTTAAGTGATGCACAGGCTTGTAAGAAGAGAGTTGTTACTCCTGTTAGGTTAACATCTAAAAATACAAGACAGAGAAAGAGAGGAAATGGAGGCTTGAAGAAGGGAAGCAGATGCTTAAGAGATCTTAGCAGGGTCATGCAGAGCTGGAAACACAACATTTCTGCTATTCCAGTCCCTCTGAACCTCCTCCATGTCCCTCCTGCATCCCTGGGAATCTTGAGCAGGGTTTCCAGAGTCTGAACAAGCAGAAAAATCTGATTTTGTAGCATTAACAAGTATTCTGTAGCCAAGCATAGAAGAAAGCCTGTAGGTGCACAAGAGATGTACTGAAGGAGCTGAGGAACTGTCTTTATGTGGCTGCTTTGATTTTTGAGGGAGAGCGTCTGCTGCGAAGGGAAGATGCACAACCCTCTTGAAAGAGGTTGGGTTTGTTGTGGGTTTTTTGTTTTGTTTACAGCATCCTGTGCCTTTCCAATCCAGTTCCACATCCCAGATGGAGCTAAGCTCCCTGGGTAGAGCCGGTGAAGGAGTGGGCAACATGGCTATTACTTTAGGCCTATTATTTTGATGAAGTTGCGTGTGGGTTCCCAGATCATTGAGATTTAGCAATGTGACTCACTAATAATGATGCTTTTGTGTTTCAGAGGTCCCAACCCAAGCAAACTGATCCAGCAGTTCTTAACCTTGCGGCCAGACCAGCAGCTCCACATCTTCAACACGCTAAAAGCACATCTTGTTGACCGGGGTATGTTAGGTGGTTTGGAGGACGCATAGAGAGCTGGGCGATTAGAACGGGACTGAAAACAGACAGGCCTCCTCGAGGAAATTCCTGGCTTGCCTGATTTAAGACAATAACAAGGCCTCATTTCACTGTAACTTTTCTTCCTTTCTTGGTAAATGTTTGCATTTGTGTTTTGGGTTTTTTTTAATAATATATTTATATAGCTTTGGTTCAAATGAGCAAATCTTGGGTTTGTAGCTGAAAAGGAGTTGAGGCTTGGAAAGACCGTTGGGTGAAGTAGAAGGGTACGACGGTCCTCGTGGTCTGTCCTTAACCTTCGATGCACGTGGCCAGAGCTGAACTTTTCCTGAGTGTGTTTATGCAGGGAACAGACGACGCGTTGTCCGTACACCCGCCTCTGCGCGCGGGAGCCCGCAGGGAAGGCGAGGTCGTGCAGCTCCCCTGGCCGTCGTGCCAGGCTGCATTCACTAGGGCACCTCTGGGGACCATCAGTTTCTCCGGTGGGAACTGTGAACGCAACGTTCATTTTCCCAGAAAGCCGCGTTTATGCCCGCGCGCAGCCCCCTCGCAGCCTGCATGGCGAGCACAAGGCTCCGTTAATTGGAAGAGGATCTTGTGCTAATCCAGCCATATTTCCTCTGCCCAGCCAGGCACGTGCATCTGTTTTCACTTGCTGGTTTTTGCTGTGCCTCTCGCATTCCCCCCTTATGGCTGATATTTTGGCAAGTAAGATTTTTGTAACCAATTAAACCAGAAATGAGTGGGGACGATTTGTCAAGAAACTGGTAGTCGCTTGTGGGAATGGGGGAGGTTCAAATTGCTTCAAAACTGAGTCAAGTAAATAGGTTTTAAAGAACATTGAAGTTTCATTGAGTAATTCCTGCCAAGTAAGAACAACCCTTTAAATAACTTGGTTCATTTTTTTCTACCATCAGAGAACCTTTAAGAAACACTGAACCACACTTTTTCGTTTCTCAAAGGTTAGAAATCCCACACTGGGGTATTTTAACTAATTTGGAGAGCAATTTCCAACTCTGTCTTTTTTCTGATGGTTGCTGGTTGGGGCTCCAGCACCCTGCTGGTGCTATCAGCTGGGTATTTTGTTTTCCTTTCAGGGATCATGTCTATCACCTGTTTGTTACTTGAGTTCTAGATGTCGTGCTGCTGAGTTTATCATGGTCTGTGTCGCATTTCAGTCTGGGTTCATTTACCTGCAGGCTTCTGTCCTGCTTCGCTTACTAAATCTTGTCATAAATAGTTTGTACTTAACAGTTGCACATTTTATCTAAGTACCTTCCTTTATTTTGTCATACTTTTTTATTATTTAAAAATGAGAGCCCTAAAGATTGTAAAATTTTTTTTTTTTTTTTGGTGATCAGGTAGTGAAAACATCCCCAGTTTACACCTTACGCAATGTTCCCCAACACAAGGTGACCCTGATTTTGCTTCTTTCCATAGTTTGTGCATGGGAGAGAGAGAAACTTTACCTTATTTTAACCTGGGGAACGAGTGAGAGGGAAAGATAATACAGAAGTACATTGCTGTTTTCAAACCGTGGCTGACGTAAACCTTATACACAGACACCCCCCTGTATGGAGACACGTACACGCTGCAAGCTAGCTGAGCATCGACAGAAAATACACCACCTGAAAATGCTTCGCAGTTCATATTCTGATTCTGCCAGTGCTTTCATTTAACCTGAGCGAGCGAGGGAGCGTGTGTGTGTGTGAGTGTGTGTGTAAACACATTAACAGATCCCAACCTCTCTTCCATTTCTAGAGGACTCTCTCTGTGGTAAGCTCTGCTTCATCTCCCTGAACAGGAACCACAGGGTGGAAGTCTGTGCCCGTTGTACTGCCAGTACAGGCATTTGATTGAAACTGTGGAGTGCAGAGAAAGATGGTCTGTTTCTGGCAAATATTTTCAGCGCGGTGCTGGTGAAGTTGCTGGCTGCTGGCAGGAGTCAGGACTGCTACGATGGAGCCAGGTCAGGATTTGGTTCATGGCGTAGAGGCTTTGCTGGACTAGTTGGGGAGGCTGTTCCCTTCCAGCTGGAATTAGGCAGGGAGTTCTTTTCTGTCGGCTTAGAGGACATTGCTCCAAGCCCCTAATTTGAAAATTGGAGGGGGGAATTAAGGTGCTTCCATTTTGCTTTGCCCAGGGAGAACATTTGGTCTGCATTTCATGGCAATTTGGCTGAGTTCAGCCGGGCAAAGTGAGGGCACCTGCAAGGGCTACCCGAGCTGGGAATAGCTGTGGGAGTGACAGGGTTTTGTGTAGTCCCTGAAAAGCAGTTTGCCCTGTGGGGTGAGACATGCTGGTGCGTTTCTGGATTCTCCCTGTCCGTTGCCGCCACCTGCCAAAACCCCTCGTAGTGCACTGTTGGGTGGCGAATCAGTCAGCAGAAGAAGCTATAATGCTGATAAATGTTACAAAAACGCACTGGTCTTTAGATGAAGAAATTTTTCCTATGGGTCTTTAGTCTCCTGCTCGTCTTGCTTTAAACCTTTTGTACCTCTTTAGTTGTAATTAGTGGGGCAGCAATCGGACACAAAGCTTTTCTGCATGCTTTTGAGTTGAAGTAGCATTTGAGCCCTTTTGAAGGTTGTAGTGCTGGAGGGTGGACACTGGAGGGCAAAGCAGTTGCATTTAGTGGCTTCCTAGGGCTGGGAGAGAAGCAGCAGCAGTAATGCGAGTGGGTGGCTTTCCTGAGGAGCTCGCAGCTTTATTCTCGCTTCCTTCCCCGCAGCGCAGTTGAAGGGTGAACTTCCACGCCTGGTTTGATCCTGAAGGGTAAAGCTGTGTGGCAAGGGTTCATCCTGCACCAGGGCTTAGTAAACTGGATGGGAACGGCGCATCCATTTGAGACGTGGAGGAGGAAGGGAGGGAGCTGGGGCTTGTTAAGGTGATTTGCAAGCTGTGCAGCTGAACTTGCTGAGAAATACTCGTGAGCACCGTGGCGTGTCATCCATGCGGCTGGGAGCTGTGGCTGGCAAACCCACTTTTACACCGCTGGTATCAATGTATGTGATAGGACTGCTCAGCTGTTAGTGGCAGCGTGCTGTCTGGGGTGGCGTTGGGAGGGTTTTCCCCATCAGTCCAGCCTGTGAGTGGCTTTCGTTTGCTGTAAATATTTCAAGTTAAACTTAGAAAGTTAGAGAAAAGGAAAAGCTCACGTTACTGGCTTTGGCCGTCCCTAAAAGAGTTAACTGCGATGCCGAGGGACATGTAGCAAGACAACCTTGCGCCTCTTTTCATTGCATTAAGCTTTGCAGGACCTTGGTTGTGCTGCAGCTCTCACAAGAGTTGAGGTTTGGAGGGAGGCTGAGGTAGGTAGCGCTGCTGGCGAGGCCGAACTGACAGCAGGGATGGCTAGGTAAGGCGCTGCGGGGATGCTCACATGAAGTTTCTCCAGCTGCAGGGCTCGAGCTCAGCATTGTACAACGGTTTGTCCACAGTGGCCTCCACGACTGGCGTTGTTCTTCCTGCCTGTGCCCAGCAAGAGGGAAATAAGTGTGAGAGCAGACAGCAAGGGAGGAGGCCCTGTATCGCCAGTGTGTGTGCTTGGGTCGGAAGGAAGAGAAAAGTAGGGTTTGGGCAGCGTGAAGCCTACGAGGGTACTACTGCTGCCCAGCGGGGGTCGGGCTGGTGTGGAAACCACCTCCTCACGGACGGTCACTGCTTTTCCAGTTGGAGCAGACAGAGAGGGATGTGAGCATAAGCAAAGGGATGGCACGTGGCTGGAAAGCTGCTTTTGCATGGCGTGAGAAGCTGGCCGTCCCGGGGAGGTGACTAAATGGTTGTGACATTTGTTTGCCGTCGGGAGATTTAGCGATGCGGGTCGGACACCAGTTGGATCCACAGTCTGAGCAGGCACGGCTGGGCTCGGTCTGTGTAGACGAGCACGGGGCAGGCTCTGATAAGAATTTGCTTCGCCAAGTCCAGTTGGAGCCCAAATTAGTTTGCAGATTGGGTGCATGGCCAGGTTGTGGCCTGCAGTGCTCAGTGAAACATCAAAACCTAGTTTCAGCGTACGGTGTCATGTCCCGTGCTGATCAGCCTGTATTACTTATTCTTCAGGGGGATGGGCTCAGAAGTCTGCTGCCACTGGTCTGAAGGGGCAGCTGCTGCCTGGGGTTTATGGCACCCTGTGCGGCTCAGGAAGCTGGAAATCCCGTAGCATCAGCTAATGCCGGTTGTGAAATGCCGGTATCTGGTATTCCAAGGTATGTCTCCTGTTTCTGACGTGTGCAGCCAGTTCCCCTGAGCATGGTTGCTGTTAGATCCTGGCATCTCTTCCTTCCGCTGCCTCCTCTGACCAGCTCTGTGTGATAGGAGGAGGGCAGAGCTGTGTGGCAAGCATCCCTCCGGCCCGTCCAGAGCCTCCTGGGGACAGGCATTTGCCACAAAAAGCATCACGTGAAAGCTCCTGTGGTTCCTGCCCTCTGTAACCAGCCCCAGAGTTGCATTTTGTACTACTGTAATCTCTGTGTGCTCCTGTTCTCCAGACCTGATGTGTTTCTACCATCTGCTTCTTTCTCTGTGCATTGTTCTTTTGATTAATGTTTTAGCTACACATGTAGAGTTGCCTTTCTTTGACCGAATGTCCGAATGTGATATATTGTATATTTTAAAGTATTTACCCTATTTATATACTATATGTTACTGTTAAATAAATATAAGTTCCATTATCTGTAGTGGAGTTTTATTCAGCGCTGTTGGCAAGTTGGGGGAGATGCTGAAAACCTCCTTTCCGTGCTCTGTAAGGCAGATCCACCTGTTTTAAACTCGGATTCCCCCATTCCTAGCCCTGTAGCTCTCCCGCCTCGGGCATCTTCCTGACTGCAGACCTGGTTGCAGCAAAGACGCACGAGGAGGTTGTAGGTGGGCTGAGGACGCGGGTGGGATTGGACCATCCGGGACCTGCACGAGGGACACAAACGGCTGCTTTTCCGGGGGGGGTTGTAGTGGAAGCTGCGATCAGATCGTACGGGGCCATCTTGATCAAAGATGAGGGAAGTGTTGGCACCACTGCCCACTGCAAACAAGATCATTTTGCCCCAGAGATCTCATTGGGGGTGTGAAAAACTGTTGGAATTCCGCTTAGCCTAAATTATTGCTTCATTTCAGCTGTTTCTCCTGACTTCTGTGGGGTTAGGAGAGCAGAATCCTTCTGTAGCCAGCAAAACATTACTAATTTTAGCTGTAGTGTTATTTTGACTGTTTCTGACTTATCAGCTAAGCCAAACCAACCCATCAGCAGCCTTCTTTTTGCTTCCTGTCACACTGTGTGGGCATTTTCAGACAAATTAACCCTCCAACAACAAAATACGA